CACGGGATGGGGGGGATGCGCGCGCGCGCCTCCTGGCGCCCCCGGACCTCCTTCGCCCCCGGGCTTCGCTTTTGCGTGAACCACAAAGGCTGCCCGCCCCCTCCCCGCTGCGCCCTCTTCCCTGCTGCCTTCCCTGGCGAGCGAGATTTAATTTCGCAAACTGGGGGAGCGGAGAGGAGAGGATGGTCGCGGCGGTGCGACCCTCTGCTTCGCTTCAAAGACACTGTACTTGCCGCGGATGGGGTCCGCTGCTTTGACCAGGAAGCTCCTTTGGCCGTGTAGAGGCGGGGGGCTGCTTGGGAGGCTTGCTTCCTCGGCGAGGCGAGGCGAAAGAGTTCAGCCGCCGCCTCGGAGGTGCTTCCTCGTCCGGATGCTCTTTCGGGGCGCGCTCTCCCGCCCCGCTGGGCGAGCGGAGCGTCCGCGCTCTGGGTCAAATAAACATTCGCGCTTCCGGGCTGGCGTGAAAGCCGAACCCGCACGGCTCCCGGGCGCGGGCTGCGAATATCCGCGCGACCACTAGGCAGCAACGAACAGATGGAGAAAAGTCGAAGTCTCTGCTGCCGTCCGGTGGTGATCCGGGTTTCTGCAGTGCGAATCTAATGGCTGTACTGAAATCAGCCTTCAATTTGGCAAGAAGTGTGTGTGCTGTTTGTTTTATGTGAGATCTGTTAGGGTCCCTCACCCACCGCTGCAGGAAATGCACTCTGCACCTGCTCAGGTGTATTATTATTTCACCATGACCCTAGGGAAAAGCCTTGAGAAGTTCTGGAGGTGTAAAGTTAAGCCTTTGGACAAAGATGGCATTCATATTTTTCTGCCTTTCCTCATCCTGGTCCCCAAGGGATGGATTATAGCTCCCATAATTCCCAGCCAGGCATGCTGGCTGCTGTTGTTCAGCATATATGCAGGGGCCCAAGCTGGGGAAAGTGTTTTATTGAAAACATTTTAACCAAGTAAACTGCAGGAAACGAAGAGGCAAAGAGAGGAAGAAAATATATTATTTCCTTATTGAAGTACATGTTGATTGCTTTTTTGTGAACACTTAATTTGGTTATAGATGTACTCCATGCTGTGGTTTGCACAATAGATCGAACTACATATTATTTATTTATTTTTAAATTTGTATGCTGCCTGACTCTCAACAACTCTCTTTATGAAGCTGATTGTACAACATGCTAAGCTCCCCTTCCAGAAAACAAGGTGAAAACTAACCCTGGTTTTACATTTTTGGCAAATAGAGCCGGTAGGCCTTTAATTGATCTGGTTAAATCTGCCATACAAACACTGTTCTTGTATGCCCTCATTGGCCATTTTGAGCATAGCAAAATTAGAGAGAAAATCATGCCTTCACATACTGCTTCTTAGCAAAGGTATAGACTAAGTTACTAGCTTGTAGCAGAGCGAATGGAATTAAACATTAAAAAAGTAAACAGAAGTGAGGAAATGCTAGAAGGAGAATTTTAGAAATGTAAATGGGAATAGTAGTGATACATCGAGGAGTGGAATTGAAAAGAATGCTATAAATGCTAGTTCCCAAGAAATAAATAAATAAAAGGAAGTAATTCCATAAGAACATTGAAAAATGATAAGCCTGCAGGTATAGATAGTGTAACTGAAGAAAGGTTAAAATATGGATGTGGTTTGCTGATGGAATTGCTGTGTCATTTATTTAATGTGTGAAGGCTGAATCTGCCTAAGGATTGGAAAAATTACATTATTATTCCTTGTTCAAAGGGAAAGATAGCAAGAATGAATCCAAAAGCAATGAGAGATTAGTTTGTTAAGGGTCCTGGGAAGTATTTGACAATTTGGCAGAGTTCTGGCCAAAAGAGTACAAGACAGGAAGTTGAACAAAATCTGAGAAATATAGTGTGGCTTTATTGGTGGCCAGGAGGATGACAGAGCAGACTTTTGCTGTTCAGCAGGACATTGAAAAATGTATGAATGTGAGAAATAGAGTTTATTGTACGCTCAAGAAAGCTTATGATAATGTGAATAGACTTGAGTTATGGAAAGTTTTGTATGAACATGGAGATAATGGTTGGTTGCTGAATGTGATAGGAAAAGTGTATGATGGAACTAAAACAGAGTTTTTCAAACTTGGCCACTTTAAGATGTGTGGACTTCGGCTCCCAGAATTCCCCAGCCAGCATGCTGGATGAGGAATTCTGGGAGCCAAAGTCCACATCTTAAAGTGGCCAAGTTTGAAAAACACTGAACTAAACCATGAATAAGAGTAAGTGGAATGCCTAGGAAATGGTTCAACATTGAGCTGGAAGTAAGACAAGGATGTGCGATGTTGGTTTACTATATTTATGGATAAATGTACTTTATGGTTATGTACTTTTGTATGCCATGCTGTTGGCTGAAACCTGAATTATCTGCCATGAGTATTAAGCAGACTGTATGATGCAACAAGGATTAATGTGCCAAAGACCAAGTTAGATTTTTTGACAGAGAAAATGAGTGAATGATCGTAAGTTATACATAAATGGTGAAAAAGTAGAACAAGTACATGTATTTGTGTACCTTAGTAGAAGGATTAGTTTAGATTAAATAGAGAATTCTTAAGATGTACAAGTGCTTATAGATGAGTGGGTAGTATGTGCTTTGTTGTGAAGAAAGCAAAACTGACTATAGGAGATAATGTGTTTCTACTTTTGTTACATGGAAGTGAGAGTTGAATATGTCTGGGGAAATGTAAAACTAGGTTCAATGCCATGAGAATGGAGAATGGAGTACTAAGAGGAGTAAAACATAAAGATAGCCAGTTTGATGTAGTGGTTAAGGCACTAGAAACCAGGAGCCTGTGAGTTCTAGGCCTCCCTTAGGCATGGAAGCTGTTTGGGTGACTTTGGGCGGGTCACCCTCTCTCAGCCCAACCCTCCTCACAGGGTTGTTGTGGGGAAAATAGGAGGCAGGAGTATTAAGTATGTTCACCACCTTGAGTTGACCAAAAAAAAAAAAAGGGCAGTTTTTTTTTTTTAAAGAATGAATAATGCTGAATGAATGTGGACTGAAGACAAACGTGATTGCCCAGGAAAAGGTTGAAATAGTTTCATCATATAGAGGGCCCAAATGAGGATCAGATGGCAGAAGAGATTCATGGAGGAAGCTGGATATGGTCAGGAAGAAGGAGAAGACCATGAAAGTTGATGAGGTCTTCAAAAAGAGGTGTATGCTTAACAAACGAAAGCAGTACATGAAGCAGTGTATGGATGTGACAAAAGGAAGGTTAGTTTGCCAGGATGGAAAGGTACAGTGAATGATATTGGTGGAAACCAGGTGTGTTGTTTCCTCTTTTTAACTTTATTTCATACCTTCCTTTGGTTTACTGTTTTATAGTTCTTTTCTGGACTCTGTGCAACGTTACATGCTCTGAAAGGAAACAGTTTGATGTACTTATTTAGGGAGGAGATGCTTTTCTGTCATTTAACCTTCCCCTCTTGGTTTTCCCTTTCTGTTGCTTAGGTTCCTTGCCCCTTCCCTCCAGACCTGTCCCTTTAAATAGCTTGCCATTGTCCACTCAACTCCTTCTCATTTTCTCAGATTTGTTCAGTTTATAACTAACTTTTGTCTAGACCTGGGTTTTTCAATCTTGGCAGCTTTAAGCTATGTGGACTTCAACCCCCCCCATTTCCCCACCTCCAAACGGCGCGGTGGGGGGGTTTCTGTTGGTGATGGTTAACCTCCTATAGTGGTCAT